TCTTTCCTTAGATATCAGATAGGCAGGAATAATTGATGGAATTTTTTCAGTGTTATTACTTACTCTGAGAATAAATTACCTCTCCCATTAAACATGAGTGGTGATTAATATGAAAGGCAAAAAGTGAGAGGAGAGGATAAGTTGCACCTTAAAATGTACTTTATATCAGCATTTTCCTTTTGTTTCTTTTTTGCTATTTCACCTTTTTTAAAAGAAAGCAAATTTTATTACAGTAAATAGTTATGGCAGACAATACATGCCTAACTGGTTTTTTTTTCATCTTTAAAGCATATAAATTTTTAGAAGGCAACTCTCAAATGCAAGACAATCTACCACTGGATATAGATGCCATTAATTTTTAATTATTTAAAAAATCAAGGTAAATTATTTTCTTCAAAAATTGTTTTAAAGGTACTATATACTGCTGAAGTTTGATGAAGTCAGTCAACAACTAACCAAGAGCTGCCTGGGATCATCATCTTATTTTCTCATTTCCTTCTTAAATGTAAGACCGTTTTTGCTATTCTCTCTGACAGTTCCAATAAGAATCTTTGCTATTGATCTCCAATTTAATGTACAATTTTTTTCATAATCTTTGCTATTGATCTCCAATTTAATGTACAATTTTTTTCATCATTCTCTGGTGTATGAATAGGATGGATTTGTCCAGGTTCTTAGATTGAATGCAGCCCCCTCTTTTCAGTCTGCTCTTCATGCAGAAAACTAATTTTCCATTCCCAAGCCCTGTCTCCAATTAGCCATCCCACCTACCATTCAGTATACATTCTAGCTGTCCACAGCACAATCTGAAGTATTTAATTGGAGTTTGGAATTATTTTTAGACACTCACTAATTTTGTCTCACTCTCCTGAGCACAGTATCCCCATTTCTTTCTTTTTCTTCCTTTTATGAGAGAATATTTTATGTTTTCTTCAATATGCTTTGAAAGAACTAAGTCTTAACTTTATCAGAATACTTTCTGACCTCTTAGAAGAAACTTCACTATATGTTCTTGTATAACAAGATTTTTGAAATGGTTATTTAAATCTGACATTCATCTCACTGTATTTGTTCCCTTTATATGAATAAGTCCTTCAGATTCCAAGGATCTTCCACATATAAGGTGAATGCCCTTCCCACATAAGCACTTAAATCCAAAAGGGCACACATAAAACATTTTCATATACGGTAGTTAGATTCTTGTTTCTCATTATTGTTTATCTTCATTAGCAGACTGTATTTCAAAAGATAGAATGGATTATAAGTGCACATGCTCAAGAACTAATTGTATTGTCTCTTTTTAACCACACTTGAAAGAGTGAACGAAAGTGGCATTTATTAAAGTTCAGTAGAAAAAAAAGAAATAATCCATTGGTAGAAAAATGTATGAACCAGAATGCACTCTACAATGTTTTGTTATTTTAAAAACACATTTTCAAAGAATGAAGCAAATAAGCCAAGTGGGCGTGCATAAATCAACACAGCCACCTTCTCCTGTTGTTCCTTTCCTGGCTTCGAGAAGCAATTAGATTATGTTGCTGAAAACTAACCTTCTTCTATAGAATAGACTCCAGTCTTCTTTGTCATGGGAAGAAAAGCTTTAACTAGATAGGAGGGACAAGCTGGAAACATGGACAGGAAATCTGAAAATTCCGTATTAGCAAGGCTATACAGTAACAGAAAAAGGAAAGGGCTTAAGCAATTTCAAAAAGTGTATACTGAGTAGAACACAGGCCAGTCAGAAGTCCAGCCAGTAATAGTTTGTTCCCAAAGCAACAATTACACTATTAACAGCTTCATTAACAGTGGCATACTGTCATGTATTCCATTTTAGAATGACTACTGATGTAAAGTGCTACTGATTTCTTCAATGGATAAATTGATTCCATTACTACCCCCTAAATGCAACATAAAAGGATCCAACTCAGACTTTTGCTTGTCTTTCCATTGAGGCTCAGGCAAAAAGAAGAAAGCATATAGTATGATACAATTTTAACACCAAAAAAGCAAAATACAACAAGCATGCTTCTAATTGAGTGTATCTATTAGAAGAAAACAGACAAAAGAACATAATAAAGCAATTCCAATTAAAGAAAATAGTAAATATGAAATTATGCTAAGCCATTATGTTATGACATAAGTTATGCCAAAAAATGGCTTCCACAGGAGAAACATCAGCACACGCAGATACTATTTCTAATAATCTTAAATGCTTGTATTTTAAAAACATAAGGCTTAAAAATGAAGCTTTAAATAAATACATTTAAATATAAATATAATTATATTATATAATATAAATAATATAATATTATATATATAAAAATAATAATATAACTAAAAAATTTAAATAAACCTTCACTGCTGCTAACTGAAAAGAATCACCACTGGGTCTAAGAAACTATCACAAGTACAAATTTTTAAGCAAGGTATCATTTAATTTAACATGTTTTAAGTATCTTCTGTGGTTATTCTAGTTGCTTCATGGCAGAATATACTTAAAATACTATAATTAGTTTAAACAGCACCTACCGTCATCACTTAATGTAACTGTGAGGTTTCAATACATTCTCCCTTGCATTACCGTAGATCAATTAAGTATTGGTTTGAAAACACTGCATGCTGCATAACTCCACAGTGAAGCATTTTAAAACAGCATGACAGTTTTATTTAGCATTAGTTATATTACAGTGCTATCAATAATAGCTAAAAACTCATACCACAATAAAGCTTTCACTGCCAAAGTAAAGTCTATTTGCTTATAGCAATGACCAGAATGTTTCTCAAGTTAAGAAATTAAACTTCATCAGCAAGAACACCTTAGGAAGGTTTCAGAATCTCTGGTACTGGAGGCTTTTAAGAATGAATCATCACCAGGGATAATGCAGGTATAACTGACTGTGTCTTGGGCCAAGCAATTAAGGGACCTCTTTGAGGTCCAACCTCTTCAGAATCGTGTTTTCAGCAATTCCATGTGACAGCAAACATTGCCAACTGACAGATGGCCACTCAAAAGCAAAGAGAACTAGCTCCATTATGATCAGGTCATTGACTTTTAATGCCATCCAGTAATTAGCAACCAGCAACCTCAGACACATCTAGTGCATGAGTCTTAGCTGTCATAGGCTTGAGACTGAATGAAGCTTCTTGACTGCCCTGATGGTCTAGATTTCTGAAGCTAAAATCTCAGGCTTGATCAAAACTGTGTATCAAAAGAGTGAAAAAAAAAACAAAAAAACACTACAACAAATGCCAACTACTCTTCCTACAAATGGATACCCAAGGAGTCCTTGGATTCCTAAAGCTTGCAGGAATCTTTTAGTCAGTTTTTTCAATGGTTTGAGATCTGTTTAGACGACATTTCTAGAGCAGCAAGACTACTGGAGCAGGATGAAGTCAGACAGGCATGCTTACTTTACTTCTTTTTTTACTTCACACACACGGAGTCAATCCCACTGTCAACCCACTGAAGTAGCCTTTTCTCAAAGTCCCTCAAAAATTATCCTGTTAACCTGAGTGAATAGAATAGCTTTGCACTGCAAGCCTAACAATTACCTGCTACAGTCAAGAGTATTCCAGTCCAAGAAAAATTTGGCCAATCTGTTCATGAAGAAAACAAGGCATGGGAGGTAGCAATGAATGACTGACAACAGTTTAACCAAGACAGGCTATTTCAGAGGTACAGCCTAAAGACAAGAGGAGGTCAGGCTACTACTAGTCTGAACTTGAAGACTAACCCTTATGAAACCACCAACTTACTTTGTACCCTAAATGTGATAGTTGTAATATTAGAGTGATGTCAGAGCAATGGCAAAGGTAACAAACAGGCAAAATAAAAATATTTACAAATCCAGCTGATGTTTCCATCAGTTGAAGAGAAAGACATCCTCTCATAAATGCACAGTTGTTTATAATTTCATTTTTGACAACCCCACTCAGATCCACATTGATCATTTCAGAAAATGATGATTGCTTCTACCTAGGAATATGCTACATTTATCTATGAAAATTAAAGCTTCCTTGTATCTACCTCTAACTATTGAAATTTAACAGCAAGGTTTCAATTTTTTAGCATGAATTTAAACTTTAAAAAATTTACTTCAGAAACAGAAAAATATCCTCTCGGGTTTTAACCGTTTAATTAATTTCTAAAAGAATCTATCTGACAGCTAAAAGTGAAAATCAAAATCCTTTGCACTTTTCAGTGATGTCTTAGTGAACTACAGTCTCACTGCCAGCCATTAATGGCTAACAATGTCCAAAAATTTAATATCATTAAACTAGCATAAAACTCCTGCAGACCTTGATGATAGTCCACATTCATAATTATATAAATCTACTCAACAATGCATCTGACCTAATACTGACCAAAAAGAAAAAGCACAAACACCCAAAAAGAATAAAAGCTGTTATTTTTGGTCTGTATAGGGGGATATGTGTCCCTTTAGCCAAGGGGAAACAAAGTTTTTTTTGTCTATTACAATTAGTAATCTTACAACATCCTAAAAATCTCCAACATTGTGCTAAAACTCACAATACAAGAAGGAACATCATCCGTCTTAAAAAATACTAGGATCTGACTAGGACAGAGTTATGGAGCCAACAGGAACCCTAAAATGGATTCATTAAAAAATGGAGCACCTTATTTAATAATGTATTAAAATCGCTTTTTTTTTTCCCCAAACACACTCTGAAAACTTAACATAATTATCAAGATCATGTCTTAACTCAGGTTTTCACAAACTACATTAAATTGTCACAAATTTTCAACCATATGTTTCCTTTTTTTCAAAAAAGTGCATCTTCAGAAGTGCTGTGCAAGAACATGTGACCTCCAGTTTTGCATGATATCTGTGAAAAAAAAAATTGAAAAAATATGCTATGCACTACAAAAGTGCTATCTTCCTAAAGAATGTTCCAAATACCAAAACCTCAGCTAGAAAAAAAAAAATATACATAAGAGTAATGTTTCCAACATTTAACTTAAAAATAGCACATCTTACCCCCTGTTCCAAGAACTTTCAGGAGCTCAAAGTTTTCAATGCCAACTTTCTCTGCATGGCCTGTCAAATTTGCTGAAGGGAAAAAAAAAAAAAAAATCACATCAGATATGTAGTACAGCAAAACATCACTCTGACATCTTACTACAGCCTCAGTAAAACCAAGTTAGCAAATAAATTAAATAAGCGGTGCTACAAAGACATCCCAATTTCATATTGTACTCAACTTGAGAAGCAAGGGAAAGCAATTTACTTCCTCCCACCTGTACCTGAACGTAAAATCACAATAGTATTTGAAGCCCATCTAGTCTGTACATACCATCTTCCAGTGTGTCACTGGGCACCTCTGAAAAGAGTCCAGTTCCACCTTTTCTGTAATCTTCAATCACATAGTTACAGATAGCAATCAGGCCATCCCTTAGACCTAGCACCCTGAATACTCTCATTTTTTTGGATTATATGGTGTTTGGGATGACAAACCAAGCTCCAGCAACTGTTCATGCATTTAACACAGGATTGTTGAAGACTTTCCATTAGTATCAAGTAGAAATGACCTTAAGTCTACATAACTCACAAGTATGGAAAAAATCAAAGCTGCTACCAAGTTGTGTCATTTGTTGTTCCGTCTAGAACTAGAAGGTTCTATGCTTATACAAATCTATACCACTTTGAGTACTTATTTTGTCTAACATATATTTTTCTAAGCAGGGATGTAAAGACCTCTGTTTAAAAAAAGGGTTGTGCAGGGTTGGTTTATTGTTTATTGCCTTTTTTTTTCTTTCCTAAGCTCTTAAAAGAAAGCCCCAAGCAGTTGCCATTTTTTCCATCTTTTATTCCTATTATGCATCCATTTGCATCAACATGACTGCCGATCATTCAGCAAAAGCCCTCATTGAAACGATCCAGGCTGAAAAGCAGCAAGACAAAAAAGTAACTAAGTTTGATAATTCACATCCAAGTTGAGCTCCCTGATCCACTTTACTGAGCAGCCTCATAAGTACCATTAAGGATGTAGCATCAAGTAGCAAGTGAGTCAATATTCACCAAAGAGGCTGAACTGAAGCTTGCTGTACTACTTTTGATTGCAAACAGAACAAATATTCCTGCTAGAGCTACGTCAGTCACTGCTTAAGACAGCAGGAAGGAAGCCATGCTCATGTGCCAAAAAAGGAGTTCTAGCAGGTAAGGCAAACCCAGACTGAGTTAATGCCCATACAATTAAGGTATGCTGTGTCACAGAAAGTAAATTGTCTTTAAGCAATTTAATATTACACATTACTCTTCTCAACAGATAAACGGTACTCAACATACATAGCTACAGACATGTCGAAACATTTGTCTTTCCTGCCAGGGAAAGAAGTCACAGACTATTCTAAAGAGACCAGGGCTTAAGTATCCATTTTTTAAGTATCCAATTTTTAATGAAGGAGTGGACATCACTGAAGAGATTCAGGACACACAATTTCTCTGGACACCAGCTAAGTAAGTGCTTAAACTGGGGTGGGAAGAAAGTTTTCACTTCAAGTTTCACTGATTTGGATCTTCCACAATTTGGATCTTTCCACTCCAGAAAGGTTTTACTATCTCACATCCTTTAAGAATGTCAGCAGAAGGCTTTTCAATTAAACACCCTACTAGAAAGTAAAACAGTCACTTAATCCTCCAATATTCTTGGAACTGAATAGGAAGAGTGGAACCCAAAGAAATGCTGCATCTCCAGTAACACGCTGAAGATTTGCAGTGCTGGCTGTCAGCCTAAAAAGAGATACTAAAAGTCTTAAAACTCAATCCATTAATCTAAACAGTACCATAAACTCACATTCAATAACATTAGTAAAACCTTTTCCACTTTCATGAGGCTGCACAATAAAAAGCTGAGTGCTATCTAGTTTGAATTGTGTACTTGTTTCAATGTGAGCTGTAATTTTGCACTCTCCACTTAATTCCATTTCTCTCACAATTACTCCCTATAAAGAAATAAGTAAAATTATCCTTAATTAAAAAAAAATAACAACCTTCAAAACTATAAGAAAAGATGAACAATTCCCAGAAAGTGCTCCTCCCAATGTTGCCACATGGCAATGGTTTTTCTCCAAGAGCCTCAGTTGCAGTGATCAGTCCATCTCTGAAGTAATACCACAAGAAAAGCAAGCTAAAGAGCTTGTTTCTGCCATTTTCTAATGACACCCCTCGAGCAGTCCTTTCTCTTTATCTGCTGAAAGCAGGTGCAGCACTTTGACGCTCTAGCAGAGATGAAGTGCCATTTCAACAGGATGAAAGTTGTCATTCCAAAATTTCCGTCAACTTTGCTTTCAGAAGCATAAATCTCAAAAGATCAATTGTTCTATTGGCCACTCACTCCCAGGAACCTGAATGACCATTTTTGGAGGACCTTTCACCAGGGATGCTCTCTGCAGAATGACCATTTTTGGAGGACCTTTCACCAGGGATGCTCTCTGCACTTACAAAACTGTTCCAAGACTGAGATGCTTTAAAGGATTGCAATGGGACTGCTAGTACTACTAGGACTGACAGAACAGTAAAAGGCTTCTCACACCTCAGACATCACCGCGCTGGAAATGGTATCAGAACCCAACCCAACAACTGCCTGTGCAAACTGCACAGCCTATCTGTAAAAATCACAATGGGATCTACATTGGTGCACAGAAAGCAGTTTCAGAAACAGAAAATTTACTTCTCAATTCACTTTTTCTCCTGGACACATAAACTGAAGAAGTGCACCAAGAAATGGAACGAAGTTTGGATAGGAAGAGAAGTACTGCCCAAGTAAATAAGATGAGAGTTTCTCCACAAATAACATGAAGCTATACATGACACTCAAAAGGGATAGTTGTACATAATGGAAAAAAAAAACCAAACCAAAACAAACAAACAAATCCCCTGGGAGATTAGCTCTCTGAATATGGGCACAATTAGAAGAATCCTGCATTTACTAAAGTCCTACTGTAGTCCACACCAGTCAGCATTGCACCAAAACAGTTAAAGAGAGTTTGCAGCTGAGGATAATAGCAAGAGATAACACATCAACTCAGAAACAAAGTGAATGGAAAGGCCAGGACATCAAAGCATCCATAAAAACAAAGAGGAAATAGAGATTCTAGTCACAATCATCCTCTCTTGAAGGTAGAAAGAAAGGAAATATCCAGAAATACTACCACTGCAAAGACGAGCCTCCCTCCACATGCAGGGACACCAGTGCACAAAGACCAGAGCTGTCATTCTCAGTCCCCTGGAAACAGGGCAGCCTGTTTATCCAGAATTGCATTTCTCCTTGAAGGATCTCCAAGGGATCTAAGAGACACGTGCACTACACCTGAACTTCGAGATAACCAAGACTGAAGAACTATGCAAGCTGGTACTGTGGAATGATTATATAAGCTTTTAATTGCAGTTCTAGGATCTCAAGAAATAACATTTCAACAGTGTTTGTTTCCAAGTTAAAATGTGCTCTGTCCTCTGTTTCTGGACTCTACTGCATGCTGGTCTTGAAGCAGACAAATAAAGCTAGTGTTTCCTCTGCTGAACTAGATCAACCTCTGTGTGAAAGTTGAAACTTGTCTCTGCTATTCTCTGCAACACAAGACCAATTCTTCAGTATTATTAAGCAGAACAATGAACCTCCAGGTTCACCAAGCAATTTTAAGAACAGAGAAAACAAGAAAGAAAATTAAACAGAAGACATTCTGCAATATTCCAAGTATTAGGTTGCAGTGTCTAGTATCAGTATCAACTTGATCTTCACCTGTTACTTCAGAGAATGGCCCATCCCGACTTAAGTCACAGCATCAAAGAACAGATGCTGTTTTAAAACTTGTATGTGTATGCCTTACTCAAAGTGGAGAGGGGGAGCACACACCTTTCAGGGGGGAAAAAAACCTGACACCATGAAATAGAAACTACACAACTATTTGTTAGACACTGAAGAAAATGCATATGTTATACTGTTTATAGAACTAGTAGTAGTAGAACTATGGAGTTCTACTTTGTTACTGGTTACAGCAACTTAGAACTATTTCTGAAGAAAGTAAAAGTATCCTGAAGTCCTTGAAATCTGCGAGACCGTCAGCACCTAGTATCAGGTCACTGAACAAGAGTACCATTTAATCAGCTCAGAGTACTATCTTAAAATGGAATTTAAAAACCGTAACATCTTAAGAATATGTTTCTAAGGCAAAAGAAAGAATAAGCAAAAATTGAAACATACACAGAAATCTGAACTCAAGTGAAAGAAACGAAAACACAGTTCATGTTGCTCTGAACTCTAGGGCATCACAGTTAAGGTAACTGCTGATTCTCTAGAATATTAGATGCTTAAGGGTAAGACCACCTGAGCTGAGAAAAAAAAATTAAATCTTGAAAAAAATTTGGAAAAAATTCAAGCTCTCATAAAGCTGATTTCGTTCTAGAAGGCTTGGAAGCCAAAGTTTACACAGCCAAAAACGACAAAGATCTCTTAAGGACTAGCTGATATAATGTGTATCCATATACATTTATGTGTAGTAGCATACATGTATACTGATGGAATACAGTATGTGGAAATTCAGAAGCATAAAATGCTGTGGAATACACAATAAGAAACTGTCTTTACCATCATGAAAATATAAGATAGAAGACTATCCCACCGAAGATATTACTTGCATATAGGAAGCTGAAAAAAGTGTAAAAATCCAGACATCTGAGATTAACGATGCAACCTCACAGTAGTCTGAACTGGAAAATGCTCCAGGTTAAGATCCATTTGCATTTAGCAAATTAGCTTTTTCTCTTACAGAGGTGACTTCACTATGAGTTTTATCATTACTGTGAGCTGAATCACTATGAGGTCACCAAGATTGAACCCAGAGGCACCTCCATGGTCAGCTAGAAACTTACTGTGTAGCAACACTATACCTCACATAATTGCAAAAAGAAAAACCTGAACAAACAAAACCAAAACCAATGAAAACCCCAAACAAAATGTAATTAGACAAGATGCTAATTAATAAAATTGCTATAGATAATCTAATGCTGAACAGAGTTGAAACAATCAGATCTCTAAAGATTGTGCATATCTTC